TGGAGAACTCCAAATGCAGGCAGAGGCGGTGGTGGCAGGAGATGGTGGCCACTAGACGGGGACATCCTCGTGGATGCGGACCCGGAGGGGACAGATGCGGAGAGCTTCGGGCAGCGCGCCCATCGGCGTGCCCCCCACATAGAAATAGGGGAAGACGGTGCCGCCGAACTTCTCGTGGAAGGTGTAGATGTGGGTCTTGCGGTCAGCGTCGTAGAAGGAGAGCTCCCCTTCGTCGCAGTCCAGCTCCACCCGGATCCGTCTCAGGTCGCCCAGCACCGTCTCCGAACGTGCCGTGTTGGATGCTCGGCACGCCTCGCCGTCCTTGCCGGGCAGGCGGTAGATATACCAGAAACCGGAGCGAGCATCGTGGTGGAAGGTCCAGTGGGTGCCACCGCGTGGCCGGGCCACCCCCACCCGCCAGTTCGTGATGCCACCCAGGTTCACCTCCCAGGTGTGGAAGCCGGTGGAGAAGCCGTGGGAGCCCAGGATGCAGGGGGCCGAGGTGAAGCGCTCGGGGTTCTCCACCAGCAGCTTGTAGCCCCCGTTGGTGACACTGGCGAGGTCCTCGGACACCGAGAGCCAGCCCGCCGCGGAGTTGGGGTCAAAGCTGAAGGGGACTGTGGTGGGGACATGCGTGTTAGGAGCCCGGCTTGCTGCGGGGATGAGCTTATGGCGGGACCACAGCCCTGCAGGTATCCATCCATCCATCTATCCTTTCCTAATCCAGCTCACCATGGAGAAATGCACCCTCCAGGGCTTCCCTTTTGGGGTGCAAGTGCCCCAGAGCACCCTTTATGCTCTCCAACTCCCTCCCCCAGTCCCATCAGCCGCAGGCATGGCTGCTCCACACTCCTCTTCTCTCCAGCACCCACCACCCCTGGGGCTGCCTCACGCAAAGACTGCTTTAACCCCGGGACAACCACCCTTTGGGGGGGATCCAGCACCTCACCTACGGTGATGATGTCCAGCATCTTCTTCCACACGTTGTACTGCAGCGAGCCCAGGTACTTGGCGATGTCGAGGAGCATCCCTGAGGGCACAGCCTCCGGCTCCTCGGCCGTGCAGGCGATCCTGGGGCAGAGGATGGAGATGGGTCAGGGATGGAGGAAGGGACCGGGCTGGGTCTCCTGGCACCCTGTGTTTTGGCAGGGGCTTCCCCACCAGCACCCCACATCTCTCAAACGTTGCTCTCACCCCAGGAGGGTCCCAGCACCAAATCCCCCCAACATCAGGAGGGCACAGCCTCCGGCTCCTCGGCCGTGCAGGCGATCCTGGGGCAGAGGATGGAGATGGGTCAGGGATGGAGGAAGGGACCGGGCTGGGTCTCCTGGCACCCTGTGTTTTGGCAGGGGCTTCCCCACCAGCACCCCACATCTCTCAAACGTTGCTCTCACCCCAGGAGGGTCCCAGCACCAAATCCCCCCAACATCAGGGTTTTAATGCTTGCCCCAAGACCTGCAATATTGCTTTGTGTCTGCATGCATGGCCCCCCATCCTGCCCGGAGGCACCCAGGGATGCTGCCTGGCCTTGGGGACCCCCAGCACCTTCTTTTGCCGGAGCACCCAGACCCGGAGGGGATACGCGGGTATGGGAACTCGCCTGGGGCAGAGACCTGACTCTGCAGCCAGGCAGGAGACCCTGTTCAGCCCCAGGGAGGGGGTGCGGGGGCTCAGCCACCCCCTGAGCACCCTGTGTCACCGGGCAGAGGACGTGGCAGGGACCGGGACTTACCTGCGCTTGCGGTTCTTGTGGGTCTGAAAGAGAAGGAGACACCAGGCATCAGAACCCCACTTGTAAGGGGTCACGGGGGCTTGCAAACACCCAAAGGATCACCCAGCACTCTGCTTGCACCCTGGCAGAGGCAGGAGGGTGCCACGGCGAGGGTGACACCCCGCAGGGCACAGGGCAGCACCGCAGCAGGGCTTTACCATGAGGAAGGTGTAGTCATCCTCC